CTTTTTCACGGCTCACCTTAGCATCCCTCATCCACGGTTTATCTCTGCATCCCTTGCACCCCTTGTCCACCAAGTAACTTATGCAACCTTGATACACTAGGATGAACAGTAAGCTTTAGATATATGCATATATAAAATGCATTTAACAATGTACCACACTTCACAATTTTAACACCCAGGGATGCTCTACATGACAATTATTTTCAGTAAATATAATGAAACAAAATAGACAATAAAAATAATTGCAAGAAAAGAAACACCAACAATGAAATTAGAGGGATAACCTCACACTGGATTTCCATGGAAAGTGCATCCTTGCACTTGTGATTAGTGAAGAAGGACCCCTGAGTTTGTGGTCAGTGTGGGAAGTACCACTTATAATGGTGGTCAGTGGGAGAAAGGTCTCCCTTATGCTGGTAGTCAGTGGGAAAAGAGCCCCATTACACTGGAGGTCAGTGGAAAAAATGTTTCTTACAGTATTGGTCTACCCCTTGTAGTAGGGGACAGTTGGAAGAATATCTCCCTTACAGATAGCTAAATAGATCATTGGTGTCAGTGGTTACATATCTGAAAGGCAGAAATTGCTCATTACTCGGAACCCCTAGCAACTTCTGACAGATCCCTGGTTCAGAAAGGCTGAATTAACCAAGGAACCTCTCCTGCGCCTCTCAAAATTGCTCCCTCTTTAACTCTCATCCACTGCTGCTCACCTCTCCACTCTTCATCCATCACCCACCTCTGCACCCTTTGCATACCTTGTCAGCTACTTACCTCTGGACCACAGCTAATCTCTGCACGTTTTATCCAATCCTTGCATAGCTTATCAAACACTATAACTGGTGAACCCCCTTTTATGACACAGAGAATAGCTGCACCCACTGAAATTCCACCACAGAACCTCTTACCCCTTGTCTCACCTCTACCTTTTGTCTACTCTAACCACTGTATCCTTTTCTACCACTCGCCTCTTCCCACCTCTTGTGTCTGAACTCCTTGGCAAGCCTTATCCAGTTTACCATTTATCACCGGACCTCTGTTCACTTCTGTGCCTCTTGCTGTTTGATCACCTCTGCACCACTTTTAATACACTGCTTACCATTGCCCTGTGTCCACAGCTCACCTCTCCAGTCCTCATCCACTTCTTTGCCCACTGCTTACTGTTGCACCCCTCATTCACCAATAACCTCTACACCATCACCCAGAGTTCTGGACACGTTTGAATCAGACCTGGGGCCGCAAACCTCACCACTATGCAACTCTCATCACTCACCTCTAACTTCCACCCTATGCATAATCTCTATCCATCACTCACCTCTACACCCTATGCTACCTCTTCCACCACTACATACCCCCACCCCTTTCCTTCTCACCTTACACCCCCCATTTCCTTTCATCAGCAGCTCATCTCTGCAGCCCTTGTTTACCAATAAACCTCTGACCCACTGATCCATAGCCCATTTCTTTTCCACTATTCACCTCAGCACCTCTTATCCTCCACTCACCTTTGCAACCTTTGTCCACAACTAACCTATGCACTTCTGGTCCACCAACTTATTTCAGCACCCTATTACCCCTTGTCCAGCACTCACCTCTACACCTTTTGTGTGCAGCTTATTTCTGTACCCCTTTACCTATTATCCACTGCTCACCTCTTGTCCACTGCTTACCATTGCACCCCTTCTCCATCGTTCACCTTTGCTCCCTTTGTCCATTACTAACCTCTGTATTATCCACTTGCCCTCCAGAAGATTCACCCCCCTTCCTGACCAGGTCAGTTTTTGCGATACAGCAATACATTACTTTAACTGACAATTGCACGGTCATGTATTGCTGTACCAAAATTAAATGTATGTCCTTTTTTTCCCCACAAAATATTTTTGCGCTATAAACAAAAAAGACTAACAATTTTGAAAAAAAAAAGTTTTTTTTTTATTTTCTGCTATAAAAGCATATCCAATAATATAGACACATATACTGGAATTTGTTATACCAGTAATGGTGGCGATCAGTGACTTCTAGCAGGACTGAGATATTGCGGCAGACATTTTTACACTTACACTTGGTGAGAACCAGGTACACTAATACAGTAATCAGTGCTAAAAAAAAATATACACTAATCACTGTACTAATGACACTGGTTGGGAAGGGGTTAACATCTAGCGTGATCAAAGGGTTAAGTGTGTGCCTAGCTATGTGCTTGGTGTACAGTAGGTGGTGCTTTTATATGGGAAGTGATGGATTGTAGTCTCAGCTCTGCTGAGATACACAATTCATGACTCCCCCGTCACAACAGAACTGTATCTATGTAAATATAGCCCCGAAATAAGCTGACGTTAAAGAAAGGAGAATGAGAGAAATAAAAAGGTACCTTTATTTAGACCATCTAAAATTCGAAGCCTACGAAGTTGCCTTCCTGGATTCAGATGGTCCACACCCTTGCAGTCTTTTCAATCACTGCAATTATAGGTGCAGTCTGCTGGGCTGAGTCATCTTACAAGAGGTGCTCCTTGCAGATCTCACTCCTTTTATTGAAGATACCCCCAACATAGAACTGGGATTAGAGGGTAATCAGAGCCGTATCATAACTTATTGCTGGTTTGGTTGCAAGAACAATTAACTGCAAAAGGTCTCCTATTTAACCGCTTCCTGCACAGGCCATTTTTCAGGTCTCAGCACTCTCACACTTTGAATGACAAATTACGGGGTCATACAACACTGTACTCAAACTAAAATGTTATCATTCTTCAAAGAACTAGCGCTTTCTTTTAGTGGTATTTAATAAACACTGGGGGTTTTAAATTTTTTGCTAAATTAAAAGAGACCAAACATTTTGAAAAAGTTGTTTCGGTTGTAAAAGTTTGCAAATAAATAATTGTTCTTTAGAAATTTAGGCCAAGATGTATTCTACATTTCTTTTGTGAAAATTACCCAAATTAGGATGTATTATTTTTTTACACACACGCCTGCACAGTCACCAGTGTGTCGTACAACTTCATCATATAACTGGCATAGTGGTGATCAGGGACAGTACAAAAAAAAAAAAAGTTTACATTTTATTACTTTCTCGTAAGATTTCATATTTCACTGACCAAATTAGTATACTGTAACCACAGTAACATTGTACTACTTTGGGGAAGTGATTACAGCAGGTCACATGATAGTTGTATACAATGGATGGCTTCCTTTCATGCCATCCATTGTATAAGTGTGTCTAGCTGTGAATGGTCACAGCGATCACATGCACAAGCTGGGCTAATCACAGCCCATCTGTGTCATGTGATTAGCCGTGGCCAAATCACAGCGGAAAAAAAAAAAAAAAAAAAACAGTCATCAATTATTTCTATCACAAGGGATGCATGCATTTCTTGTGGTTAAACTTCACTGGTTTTTTTTTTTTTTTTTTTTTTAAAAACACACCACAAACACCGTGTGGTGAGCAGGTTGCATAATCCTAAAAAAACACTAGGGAATTTACATTTCCCATTATTCCTTGCACCATTCCCCCTTAGGGCATTTTGGTGCAGGGTGGGATTAGGGAGGTAACAGCCATTCAGCTAGGAATAGGGAGTGCTTTGCTGACAATCGCACAATAGTAGATACCATCACATCCTTCTGTCATACTAAAGACTGCAGTGAAAACAACCTGTGACCAGAGTTTGGTCAGTTGTCTGAAGGAAGAGACGGCAGCACCTTCTATCAAGTAATGGCATTATTCTTAGGATTTGGATACATGGCATTTGCATTACATGGCTCCATTTGACTACTATTGTACTTTAACCTATACAGGAGGAGAGGTAAATAAACCCTTTAGACATCCAAAGTAGTAATATCATCAGCATTAGTATGCACTGGCTAAAGGCCAAGGTTACCCCCCACCCAAAGAAAAAACAACACACACACAAACCCCCCCCACACACACACACACACCTTTTTGTAGGTAAAAGATGTGCATCTATTTTATATTTTGTTATAGTACAGGTGCTGTATTATAATATGCCAAGCCCTAAATACAGGTGCAACATCCTTTAATTCACATAATTTCTATGATTAATCTAACTACTGAACCAATTTTGAAAAAAAAAAAGGACAGCAAGATTTTATGTGTTATACCATTATGAAATACTCAGGGATCTGTAATACAAAGCTGTATCTTTACGCAGCTCTGCCAAAGCATAGAAAGAGGGTCACAAGAACATCTTCAGGTGACAGATTTTTAAATTGCAAACTTTGGCCAGCAGTCATAGTATCGCATGATCAGGGGCCACACTGGTTTCCGATCATTAGTGGGAGACAGAGCAATCAAAGAAATAGGAGCACGTGCAATATTGCAATACTAGGTCACAGCTGCAACGGGGATCTGTGTTTGAGAAAGTCATTTAAAGATTGCATACGCCTAGGGATGAACCTCAGTTTTATAGATCAATCCAATTTGTTAAATTAAAAAAAAAAAAAAAAAAAAAAAAAAAACACCAGACAGAAAAAAAAATTCTGTAACCAACACATTTTACTTTCCATTCAAAAATAGCTTTATTGCACAGATGATAACCATTACAAATATAGATAGTGACCCTAAATAAAAAAACAATTGTTTCCACATATATGTTTAGCCTGCAATCAAATGGAGCAAAGAGTCAAATTGACCATAAACAAACCAGAACCATTTAGGACACCATTCCTAATAAGTTAGTTTTGATGTAGATTTTGCATACTTAGTGTCAAAACATTAGATACATGCATACCCTTGACTCAATGTAAGCTAAACTGTAACTACTAAAATCTGGGCTAAAAGCTAGACTGTTAAGATATATATCAGTATAGCTTCATGATTCAGACAAAGCTAGGTAATCATTAAACCCTACTGAGCAAACATACAGTCTCACAATTTGACAATTTTAAAAACTGAAAAAGAAAAAATGCACACTTTTAACTACATACGACTAAAGCAAGACATGTTCTAAAAGACCCTAGTGGAGGAGTTGGAAACATTTAAAAAATAATGGTTATGGATAGCCCCACCACTGCTGGGTGGCAAGATCTTCATGCACAGTTCTTAAATGCCTGTTGTAGCATTCTTCCCATCTTTTGATTTTCCCATTTTCCACCATTACAAATTTCCACTCTACGTTGGCATCAGCTGGCAGAGCAACTGAATGTGACCAATAACCGTCTTTATCAGAAGTTAGGGGGACATAGCTCTCCCATTCACCAAGTTTCTCATGATCCCCAATGACTGCAATCAGCTGAGAGTCGGAGTGCGTGATGTAGTGCACTCTGAAGCCAAGACTTACATTATGTGGGATTGGCTGTACTGCAGCCACCCTTTTTGTCCTTTGAGGGTCAACATCATTTAGTTTTGCCTCGGAGTGAGTAGCAAAGCAACTGTTGTCACTAGAGCCTGACCCGTTGGAATCATTACTTTCCCCTTCTTGGTTGGTTAAATGTAAGAGTACACATCTGTCCACACTTGGATTTGTTTGACTTGTCAGAATCACAGCTTCTAATTTCTGGGGGATTGCCACCTCTGCGTGACAACTTTCAGTTGATACGTTGTTAGTTATGTGACCATTAACTTGTGCGCAGGTTGTATTTTCCAGGGTAACTGACAGCTTATTAACCGCCAGGTCCATTTCTGATTGCTCATAAGACTCAAGTTTATGGTGGTCAAACTGGTCAACATTCTTTTCACTTGCCGATCTATTGACTTGCTTAGAAGTGGTAACATTTGGTGCATTGCCATTTGTGAAATTCCCTTGGAGACACACTATGGGAAAAAAAAATAAAATGAATCAGTTTCACATAAAATGTCTGTCAATAAAAGCATCCCCCCCCCCACCCCCCCCCCCCCCCCCCCCCCCCCCCCAAGTCGCAAGATTGTACAAGTCTATGACCGTAGCATGAAATATGATAAAGCCTATAGTCCTGTACTCATGTTATGATTGGAGACTTGCTTGGAAATGCCTTAGGGCTCGTTCACACCAGTGTGCAGATATATCAGTTTTTCTGCATCTGCTCTGCGAGGGAACAATGCAGTTAATTGTTCTCTATGTGCCCTGCTCACACCACAACACTAGTATAACATGCAGATTTGTTCTGCCCAGGAATCTGCAACATGTATAAAACATATTGAGGCATGCATGGAAACTGATGTAGACGGATGTCTCTGCAAGTGAAATCTGCATGTCAGTTTCCATCAGTTTTTCTGCAAGTATGGTGTGAATGAGGCCTTAAAACACCTTATTCTCAGTTAAAATATTTCCTTCTGCACATATACCAGTGTCCAAGCTGACAAAGTCGAGTAACACTCACACTTCATCACAGAGAAGGGGAGAGATGGTCTTACCAGGTCTATGAGCATTACTAAGCAAAGCATCTCCTCTGGTGTTTATTGGCCTGCAAAGTTATGTTTTGACTCCATACACAATTGTAGTAACAAGAACCTGAAGGGAAGAGCTTTGCAGAAGAAAAGTGCAGAAGAAAAGTGCAGATTTTGGTGGGTACAAAGTGGTCCTACAGATTTTATGTTTAGTTGCATGCAGTTAATGCGCGTCCTTACTTTACAGTGGCAATTATATGACAGACATGGCTGTAAATTATAAAATGTGCAAATTATATTGGATACATCTCGTTCCACAAAATCATGTCCTGTTCCCTGAACTTTGATCAGTGTATGGCCAACTTTAGTCTAGGGCAGCCTTTCTCAACCTTTTTAAACCCAGAGGAACCCTTGAAAAACTCTGGTCTCAGGAAACCCTTGAGAATAATTACTATATCTACAACTCATGACACATTAACAAGATGGTCACTGGGAAGAATACTCCTGACACTTCGTCATTAGGAAGAATTACCCTCTTACAAATAGATCAGTGTGTCAGTGAACTTACAAGAGGCAGAAAACTGCTCAATTCACAAGGGACCCCTAGGAAGCTCTGGAAGAACCTCACGGTTCCACAAAACCCTGGCTGAGAATCCTAGTCTAGTGGGTAAGAAATGCTTACCTTATTCCTTGCCCTGCAGACTGTCTCCACACAAAACTGCCCCACCTTGGTTAGGAGGTGGCTGTCTCTCCAATGCTATCACTTACAATGTAGGACCAGCAGTACAGCACTTTGTGAAGCCATCAAGGGTTTCCCCACACACACCAGGAGTGGAGGAGAGTGTCGGCTGCCTGGAAGGGGGAGTAAGGAATAAGGCAAGTATTCCACCACTTTATTGAAAAGTCACAAGCTGTCCATCATATTTTGGGAATTCCTACATCATGCTGTAGACAGGCAAAGGGTGCTTCTGTATCTACTGACACCATCTGGCATTATAGCTATTCCAAGTTTAGTCTACCGGGGTAATTACATCAGATACCAATAGTGTACAGTTAGCACCTCATCCAACATGGGAGGTGGCAGTTGTATACGGCCACCACCTACAAAGCCATTCACAAGATGCTTTGTTTTGTATGAACAATTACAAAGCTTCCTTTGATTGGCGAAGGTGCATAGGTGGTGGCATGATCTCTACTTCAGCCAATCTGAGGAAGCCTCGAATTCATTCATAAAATACAAGGCCTCTGTGAATTGCTTAACAGCTACTCAGCCAAACTTAATTTTGTTCTGGGAATAGGATGGTAACACATGGTGCTGTATACTGTATGCAGATAATACATATAGTTTATACAGCACTGACAGTGGCCATGCCTCATAAGTGAAGTAAATAGTTTGTTTAGGCCAGCTTGGCACAAACAAGTCATTTTAAAAAAGGGATAGCAAAGCTGGAGTTAAGCCAGCCATAGATGCTTCAATCTCAGCTGGTTCAGTAGGCACCAGTCGAGATTCGAACCATCTATGGGCAGGCTGATTTTACCAAAATTGTACAACAATCAAATTGGGTACAATCAGCCTGCCAGATTGTGCATGCAATCATTGCCAGTGGCTACAGTTGCTAGCAAAAATCACTGGTCTCTGGCTGGGACAGCTCCCAGCCAGAGAACACAATGGCTCTACAGGAGGTATTCCCACCCCACCTCCATCAGCATTGACTGTGCTAATGAAGGAATCATATCCCCCCCCCCCCCTCAACATTGACTGATGCTGATGGAGGAATCATCCCCCCCATCCCCTCAACCTTGACTGTACTGATGGAGCAATTGTATCCCCCCCCCCCCCCCAGCCCCTCAATATTGACTGTGCTGATTGAGGAAGCAAGTGATTTTCTTTCCTACAAGCTGTGGTTGCAGCGGGAAGGGGAGGAAACAAAAAAAAAAAACCAAAAAAAAAAAAAAAAAACAAACAATCGCATTGTCTATGGTTGGCTTTAAGCAAACTATTGGAGGGGCTTCAAAAGCAGCAGTTAACAGTGTATTTAAGTAGAAGGAGAAAATCCCAAGAGAAAAGACTACATTTTCTAGACATGGCCTGGAACTCGTTATATATGCAATAGAATGGCCCATTTCAAATTATTTGTTATACTTGGCCATGGTTTCATACTGAACCAGGCCCTCATTTTCAAGTTTCACAATAGTTTGTGAAATTTCTGTAATGTAACATGTTGGTGCAAGGTTTCAATGACATTTCTATTTGCCTTACACACAGTTTCACCATGACCTATGCACACGCTGACCCTATTCAATAAGTGACCCCCTTTCAGAATTTAATTTTAAGACTGGAAATGGTTTCTGGGAAATGATCCACAGAAATCCTCTATCCTACAAGTTACAGGAGAAAGGACTATATTGCAGTTTAAAGTGGTTTTAAAGGCTCAAGGTTTATTGCCTTCATGCATTCTATGCATGAAGGGAAAAAAAAAAAAAAAAAAAAAAAAAAAAAACCACACACCTTCTGGGTGCATCGCCCAGCGCCCCCCCCCCCCCCCCCCAGGATTGGGGTAAGCCCCCTCCGATCCAGCAACGGTCGACATCCTCTGCTGTCTAGGGACTCTTCCTCCTCATTGGCTGAGACAGCAGCAGAAGCCCATTGGCAATGGTAGCCAGTAAGCCAATGAGGAAAGAAGGGGTGGGGTCAAGCCATGGCTCCATGTGTCTTATGGACAGATAGAGCAGCGGCTTGGGGACAAGCATGCAGCGGTGCCCCCAGGGCAAGTGGCTTTCCCTTGGGGCACTGCTCAAAGGGAAGGAGCGCCGCTGGGGACCTGAAAAGAAGATGATTGGGGAAACTCTGTGCAAACCCACTGCACAGGAGCAGGTAAGTATAGACAGGTTAAAAAAAAAAAAAAAAAAAAATAAAAAAAAAAAAACCACACAACACACAGCTTTAGTGTCACTTTAAAAACCAGGTTCCTTGCTTTAGTTCAAAGACTAAACCAATTTGTTAACCATTAGCAGTTGTTCCAAGCAGATTTCAGTTTTACAACTGCTACAGTGAACCCTGGAAGAGACATAAGGCAGAAATACATTGTCTGAGCTCTGAAAATGCTAGTTCTCTGGCTGGGTCTGGCTTCAAGAATTCTGTCACAGCCAGTTTTAATTTCCCATCTGTTTGTCAGTAACAAAAACCACTGGATGAGCATGACCACCACACAGCAGAAAATGTAAAAAATATCTAACATTGGATGAGAAGGGTTAAAATCTGTCTTTATTGCCGTGTTGGACAAGCATTCATGAAAGATCTGCAATGTTGAGACACAGACACATTTCTGCTTGATGTAAGGAGTATGGCTACTAGCAATACAGGGGCATGGAGACACAGGGGGGGTCATTTACTAAAAGTGCACGGTGCAAAATATGGTGCAGCTCTGCATAGAAACCAATCAGCTTCCAGGTTTTATTGTCAAAGCTTAATTGAACAAGCTGAACAGTTTCTATGCACAGCTGCATTAGATTCTGAGTGCATCAGTTTTAATAAATCTCCCCCATACTGACAGTGGATTTCCATTTCAAATTTTAAGTGAAAAGTGCATGAGCAGTAAAAAAAAATGTATTAGTAACAGATCAGGGAAAAAAAAAAAAAAAAAAAAAAAAAAAAAGGGTTCAATGTTGAAAATGGTCAGCAAATGTTTGCAGAAAGTTTTGTAAAACAACGATGGCCCCATCAAATGTTAGAGCAAAAGAGAACATTCTGATTTGTTCGGATTTTTTGTTATTCACGTACGGCCCTCTCTCCAGACTGGCAATGCTGCTGCCTGTTAACGACTTCATCCAGAATGTGGATACCCTAAGACAGAGTGTTACTGGCCAGATCACCAGGTGGGGGGGGGAAAAAAAAAAAAAAAAAAAAAAAAAAAAAAAAAAAAAAAAAAAAAAAAAAAAAAACACCCCCATACACTACCACCACTAATGCAACCACCCATTTAAGGATTGCAATATTATATTTTTATTTGAGGTGTTGTAGATCAATTAACGTGGGTACAACCAGCCTGCTGGGTTTCACATGTGGTTATTGCTAGTGAGCAACCCCCCCTCTGGGAGAACACCATGGCTCCATGGGAGGGCTTTCCCCATCAACACTGACTGTGTTGATTGGGCAATCAAGTAATTCTCGTTCCTTCAACCCATGGTTACAGGAAAGAAGATCACTCCATCTATGGCTGGCTATACATTGCACCTGTGATCTACTGATCATGGGTGCAATACTCTGCATGCTCATCAGAAACCCCCCACACACACCTTGCATAAATATGTCCATTTATTATATTTTCTTTAGGGTGTACAATTTATGCTCCCCCCCCCCCCCCCCCCCCCCCCCCCGTTTTTTTTCCACTGTACTGGGGTCTGCTGCATTTTGCCGAGTTCCAGTACAGGGAAAAAAAAAAAAAAAAAAAATGCATAATATTCCTTTTTTTGCTGAAGCACACTGTAACTGACCACACTAGTGTGTACTATGCCATTGGAAACCATATAAACTTACTTTCCATGTGTTTTGGATGCAGAGGGAAAAAAAAACAAAAACACCACAAAAAAAAAAAACACCACACATGGTATGTGAACTGTCCCTTAATGAAACAAAAAAAAAAAAAACCCACACACCAAAATAGCATCTGAGAAAAATAATAAAAATAGAAACAAACAAAAACAAAACCAAACCACACATGATCACCCATTTAAGATACCTGTTACATCCGCTTTCTGTACTCGCTCGTCACCTCCATTTATCAGTGTCACTCCATCCTGGACATGAGCTGGGTGCATCAAGCCAGTCTCCACACCGATGGGCAGCACTTTATCTGGGACAATGAAGTCGTTCTCTTCTTTACTGGTTGGCACCAACTTTTCCTCTGTGACTGTTGAAGGTTTCAAATCCTCCACAGTGACCTGTGCACCAACAGAGAGGTGAAGGTCCTCTCCAGCACCCACCAACTCATCATCTGAAGAGCCCAGATCTTCATTGACCTGTTCCTCTAAACCTGTGGAGTGGTGAACGTCAGGTGTGGACTCTTCCAGGGGTTCTTGTCTGAGGTGCACCTCTTTCTGTAGGTGGTGTAGATCTCCTGCATGGTGCTGCACAAGGTCTTCTCCTGTAGGGTGCTCCTTTGGAGTGCTCTGGTCTTCATATGAGAAGGGGTCACCTTGGTCATCCACTTCATGTCTTGTACTGCTTTCTGTGGTGTACAGCTGAGTAGTGGTGTCATGTGTGAGGAGGTCTTCTCCAGCATGGAGCATTGGCTCATTATCAGACGTCTTCTGAGGCTGGGTGTGCTCGGACTCAGGTTCCTGATGGTGGAAGGTGAGCTGGGTCCCTGGTCCTGCGTCCTCTCTCTCTTGGACCGGGTCCTGCTCCTTCCCCCTCCCGAACCATACCCAGGCTAAGACGGCGGTGATGATCCCCAGCACCACAACTGTCCCACATGCTGCTCTCCTGAGCTCGGCTCCCCGACGACACCATCCCGCCTCCAGCCTGCGCTCCCTATTAGTAGATCATCGGCTGTCCCCGCCCCCTGCCCTGGTGTCAGAGAGAGATCACAGCCCTCCCCGGACTGCCAGCAGAGAGCTGGGATTATGAGGGATCACAGGGATCGCACACCAATTCTCACTTATGTAACCACAGCTTCTCTTTCATCTACGACGTGTGCTGCTCCACGTGTTACCCTGGAGAGATTTAAAGTGACACTAAAACTCCACAAATCCTCCATATACATCCAATACTTCAGTGTTTCTTAACTAGGGATGAGCTCAGGCGTGTTGGAACACGAGTCCGAACCTGCCTGAGCTACACTGCGGACAGCCAATCATAAACCGCAAAGACGCGTCCGAACACACCTGAGCTCCGCTGGGGTAGCATGACATCCTGGGGTGCTGCCAGGGCCGGAGCTAGACTATTTTGTGCCCTAGGCAAGATCAGCTACTTGCGCCTCCGGAAAAAAGCTAAATCATTATTTTTTTTTTTAAACGGTAGAAAATATTACATTAACAAAACATAAAACGGCTAAATTTCTTTTGATTTGCAAAAATAAGTGCCATAAGATGCCAACAGCACCAATATTAAAGACAAAATCAGTGTCATGGGCAGGGGCGGACTGACAACTCATGGGGCCCCCGGGCAATAGGGGATCATGGGGCCCCTGCAGGGGCAAACTGACAACTCATGGGGCCCCCGGGCAATAGGGGATCATGGGGCCCCTGCAGGGGTGGACTGACAACTCATGGGGCCCCCGGGCAATAAGGGATCATGGGGCCCCTGCAGGGGCAGACTGACAACTCATGGGGCCCCTGGGCAATAGGGGATCATGGGGCCTCTATGTCCTTGCCCAAACACAAAAAAGCCTATGAAAAACGTACCAGGGGCATCTAGTGGGGCCCCCTACTTACCCCAGGCCCTCAGGCACTGCCCGAGTTTCCAAATGGTTGGCCCTGGTCACGGGCGAACTGCATCTGTGGCTGGCAGTGGCAGGGTTACAGTTGCAGTGAGTGGAGGATGATGGATCAACACTGACAGATCCCAGGCTGGAATTCCCCAGGCAATGGGGGGAGATAAAACACTGACAACAGGCAGCCCAGCCCACACACATACAGAGAACACCTGAATTTAGCGATCCCACACAGTAACAGATCCAACACAACACACCACCACCAACACTGACACAGATCAGCAGGCACTAGAAGAGCAGCCTTTGGGATCATGATGATGTCATCACTCACTGACACATTGTACATGTTATGGATGGCCCGGTCACACTCACACAGACACGAGACGCTACAAGTCAAACATTACCTTCCCCTGCAGGTGCAGCTCTGCATCGCTGATGAATGGGAAGAGAAGGACTGGAACTCCACAGTGATCAGCAGCCGCCACTTGGCTTACAGTAAGGGACTGAGTCTGAGAGGAACACTGGAAGGAGCGGCAGCTCAGCTGCTGCACTAGCCCCAGGCACCCGGCATTTTCCTCTGTCCTTTCTTCCTCCTCTCTGCCACCGCTCTTCTCAGCTGGAGGATCATTCATGACGGTGTCACACAAAGAGAGAGTACCAGCCTGGCTGCGCCCAGGTGCGCCTAAGTGGCAATGCACCCTAGGCAGCCACCTAGTTTGCCTACTGGAAGCACCAACCCTGGGTGCCGTCTTGGTTCTCCCAGGGTGCCACAAGCACAGGACAGTTTTCCATGAATTAGCTCCTTAGGAGTTGCCATGGAGCAGGTGGGCCAGTCATCAGTACCATAACAACCACTGAAACTCAAGGGCCAGGATGCATGGCATCATTCATTACTATGGTAACGGAGGCTTTCTCACCAGCATCATGGCAATACATGACTCTCATCCAGGAGAAGACAGGAATCCACCTCCTGCCCTCTGCAGGGCTACTGGAGCAAAAAGGTGGAACTCTGTTGAGAAGAGGAGACTGTGTTTGGGAGGCTTTGTAATGATGGGGACTTTGCTGTGAGTGGGAGACTCTGATGTAATGTGGGGGGGGGGGGGGCTCTGATGTGATCCAAGGACTTTTGTGTGAAGGGAAGACTCTAATGTGATGGGTGAACTCTGATGTGAAGAGTGGAGTCTAATGTAAAGGGTGAAATCTGATGTGAAGAGCGGAGTCTAATGTAATGGGAGGACTCTGATGTGAAGAGTGGAGCCTTAATTACCTTTCACGTTGCAGAATCCATAGACTGGAATACACAGAGAAAACGGATATATAAAACCTCCATAATTGGATCACTCAGCAGTTACCAAACCTCCTTGGGCGATAGCTGAATAACAAATCAGAAGTGTGCAGAGATTTCCATATACATTTAAAGGGAAACAAGCCATCTGATCATTATATAGTGTATTAGGGAGATCATTATACAGTATATTAGGGAGATCATTATACAGTGTATTATTAGGGAGATCATTATACAGTATATTAGGGAGATCATTATACAGTATATTAGGGAGATCATTATACAGTGTATTATTAGGGAGATCATTATACAGTAGTATATTATTAGGGAGATCATTATACAGTGTATTATATATTAGGGAGATCATTATACAGTATATTAGGGAGATCATTATACAGTTACAGTTATTAGGGAGATCATTATACAGTGTATTATTAGGGAGATCATTATCCTGTGTATTAGGGAGATCATTATATTATTAGGGAGATCATTATACAGTGTATTATTAGGGAGATCATTATACATATTATTAGGGAGATACAGTATATTAGGGAGGAGATCATTATACAGATATTATACAGTATATTATTAGGGAGATCATTAGTGTATTATTAGGGAGATCATTATTAGGTATATTAGGGAGATCATTATACAGTGTAGATTAGGGAGATCATTATATACAGTATATTATTAGGGAGATCATTATAGGGAGTATATTATTATTAGGGGGATTATACAGTATATATTATACAGTATATATATTAGGGAGATCATTATACAGTATATTATTAGGGAGATCATTATGTATAGGGAGATCAGTATATATTATTAGGGAGATCATTATTGTGTATTATTAGGGAGTATCATTATATTAGGGAGATGTATTATTAGGGAGATCATTATACAGTGTATATTAGGGAGATCATTATACAGTATATTATTAGGGGAGATCATCATTATACAGATCATTATGTATTATTAGGGAGGTATATTAGGGATCATTATACAGTATATTATTAGGGAGATCATTATAATGTGTATTATTAGGGAGATCATTATACAGTATATTAGGGAGATCATTATAATATTATTAGGGTAGTGTATATTAGGGAGATCATTATACATGTGTATTATTAGGGAGATCATTATACAGTATATTAGGGAGATCATTATAATGTGTATTATTAGGGGAGATCATTATACAGTATATTAGGGAGATCATTATACAGTATATTAGGGAGATCATTATATTAGGGAGATCATTATACAGTATATTAGGGAGATCATTATACATGTGTATTATTAGGGGAGATCATTATACAGTATATTAGGGAGATCATTATACAGTATTATTAGGGAGATCATTTCCATTAGGGAGTATATAGGGAGATCATTATACAGTGTATTATTAGGGAGATCATTATACAGTATATTAGGGTATATTAGGGAGATCATTATACAGTATTATACATTATACAGTGTATTATTAGGGAGATCATTATACAGTGTATTATCATTTAGTTAGGGAGATCATTATAATGTGTATTATTAGGGAGATCATTATACAGTATATTATCATTATACAGGTATATTAGGGAGATCATTATACAATATTAGGGGAGATTATTTAGGGAGATCATTATACAGTATATTAGGGAGATCATTATACAGTATATTAGGGTAGATCATTATAATGTATTATTAGGGAGATCATTATACATGTATATTAGGGAGATCATTATACATATTATTAGGGAGATCATTATATTAGGGAGATCATTATACAGTATTATTAGGGAGATCATTATACAGTATATTAGGGAGATCATTTACAGTATATTATTAGGGAGATCATTATACAGTATTATTAGGGAGATCATTATAATGTGTATTATTAGGGAGATCATTATACAGTATATAGGGAGATATTATACAGTGTATTAGGGAGATCATTATACAGTATATTAGGGAGATCATTATACAGTGTATTATTAGGGAGATCATTATACAGTATATTAGGGAGATCATTTATACAGTGTATTAGGGAGATCATTATACAGTATATTAGGGAGATCATTAGTGTATTATTAGGGAGATCATTATACAGTGTATTATTAGGGAGATCATTATACAGTGTATTAGGGAGATCATATATATTATTAGGGAGATCATTATACAGTTATTAGGGAGATCATTATACAGTATATTAGGGAGATCATTATAAGTGTATATTAGGGAGATCATTATACAGTATATTAGGGAGATCATTATACAGTATATTATTAGGGAGATCATATACAGTGTGTATTATTAGGGAGATCATTATACAGTATATTAGGGAGATCATTATACAGTATATTATTAGGGAGATCATTATACAGTATATTAGGGAGATCATTATACAGTATTAGGGAGATCATTATACAGGATATTAGGGAGATCATTATAATGTGTATATTAGGGAGATCATTATACAGTATATTAGGGAGATCATTATACAGTATATTAGATCAATTAGGGAGATCATTTATACAGTATATTATTAGGGAGATCATTATACAGTGTATTATTAGGGAGATCATTATACAGTATATTAGGGAGATCATTATACATTATACAGTATTATTAGGGTATATTAGGTAGATATACCCAGTATTATTAGGGAGATCATTATACAGATGTATTATTAGGGAGATCATTATACAGTGTATTATTATAGATCATTATACATGTGTATTATTAGGGAGATCATTATACAGAGATCATTATTATTAGGGAGATCATTATACATT